TGGAAATCAATGATATCAACTCTGTTTATCTCTCTCTTTCTCTCTTCCATCTCTTTTTTTGATCTCGTTCTTGTTGCAGGAAGTAAGTAAATTGTGTGAGAAACCAATGAAAAGAAGAAAGAAAGACCAATCAATTTCCCATATATCTGTATAAAAGTTTTATTTTCCAAATTACTCTTTGCCTGACCCGAAACAAATTCTATGCTCGTTTGCCAATTTCCGAAGAAAAAGTTATTGAACAAATTTCCGAAGTTTTTGTGTGTACATTTCTGCTCCATATGCATCAGAAAAACCAGTTCCAGTTCCAGAACCAGCTCCAGTACCAGTTCCAGTTCATACTGTATAAAGATTCGTTGCTTGGAATCATTTTTGAGTTTTCTTTAGAACAACAACCAACCAGAAAACAACAAACAAAACCAAACAAAAAACAATTACGTACCTACCATTACAAAATTAATTGTTTCTGTTCAACCTTTTATGCAAATATCTGTCTATATATATTCTCCATCTTATCTTCTTCTTTCATTTCGTTTACCAAAAAAACAATCAACAAACAAACCGAACTATTTTGCAATGAATTTTTTAAAACAACCAACCGTTTTTCTCTTTCTTTTCAACGTTCCTTTTTGTTTGAAAAACTGAAATAACGAAAACAATCGCATTTTGTATGAACTTTTCGAACCGAAACCCACAACAAAAAATCAATCAATCTATCGAAACCATCGTGAATTTGAATTGTCAATTTTTGAAACACAAAACCAATATATATATATATAAATAAAAATATCACCACCTCCATGTTTGTTGCCACCTCAATGCCTCACGTATAGAAAACCACCTCAGACACCAGCCGAGTAAGTCTATGTACAAAAAACAAATGTGAACAACAAATGAAATCAGAATGCTAACCAAGACTAAACCCCTAGTGTTATGTTAAGATCGTCCCCCGATTAACCCGCCTGTGCGTGTTAAACCACTCAAAAAAAAGAAAAAAAAAAAAAATAGTTTCTAAGGTGTAAACTGTACCTCTGTAGCAAGCACTACTCAACACAAACTCTTACTCACCATAACTCACCACTCCAGTGCCATCGAAGCAATCCCTATCTTTTTTGGTGTGTTTCTGTTCTGTTTCTGTTTTTTTTTTGATAACTAGAGTAGTTTGCCATACGTAGAATGTAGAAATCTAATGCTTTCTCACATCAGCACTTTGGTGGCTACTAATTGTAAAAACAACTCTTTGACTTTCGGAACAAAATTGAAAAAAAATAATATAAATATAATCACAAACCAAAAAACAGGCCGTAAGAAATTCCGTCAAAATTCTGTAATTAATTTTAGTACCTAGACATTACTCGTAGTACTAGTGGCTATAGAAAAAAAAAAACGCGAGCTCTTCGACAGATCAAACTAACTGAGTTCTTTCTCATTCCCGCACCAATCCGAACAACGAACATCAGAGGAGAGGGCGATCCAGAGTTCATCAAGCGTCAGGACCAGAAGCGCTCCGACCTCGATGATCAGCTGAAAGAATACATCACCGAGTGGCGTAAACAGAGATCCAAGGAGGAGGATGAGCTGAAGAAGCTGAAGGAGAAGCAGGCCAAGCGCAAGGTCACCCGCGCCGAGGAGGAGCAGAAGATGGCTCAGCGCAAGAAGGAGGAGGAGGAGCGCCGTGTCCGCGAGGTTGAAGAGAAGAAGCAGCGCGAGATCGAGGAGAAGCGCATGCGTCTCGAGGAGGCCGAGAAGAAGCGCCAGGCTATGCTGCAGGCCATGAAGGACAAGGACAAGAAGGGCCCCAACTTCACCATTGCCAAGAAGGATGCAGGCGTGGTAATTATATGAGATTCCATCAATGCCGGCTGCTGATACGCCTCCGTTTTCCCACCCCCCACCATCTGTCTCTCTCTCTCTTCCTGTTTTTTTTCGTTTTCTTTATTTTCGTTCTTTTTGATTTCTTTTTTATTCCATACGAACTCCTCATGTGTCCACCCACCACCGAAACACATCGTTTCCATTCGATCATACGCACTAATCGTCGGTTTTTGAACTCATCGATCATTTGTTATCGTTAATCGTTTGTGTTGCGCCTGATCCGAAACCATCCACAATCGTTAATCGTTTTTACCCAATTGATCCATCTTTAATCGTTTGTGTTTGACCCCATCGATCATCCGCAACCGTGAACTATTCACGCTCGTTAATATCGATCATATCGACATTTCTCAATCGTTAATCGTCTATGTTCACATCGATCGCCTAAAAATATGCCTGAAAAAACACAACCTACACTACAACGTGAAACTGAAACAACAAAACACCTTTTGTTTTCTTTTTTCTTTTACACAACAAACAAATAAACACAAACAACACACGCATGTACACACACACACCAAACAAACAAACAAACAAACAACAAACAAACACTATCTTTTGCGCTCCTTTCTCTGTGTGTGTCTATCTCTCTCACTGTTTGTCTCTCTCACCACGTTTGTACCGCACGTACCGAAAATCAAATCTCAAAAATCCGAAAAAAACCAAAAACCAAAAAAAAAAAATCAATATAAAAAACACAACGAAATGTGTCTGCATTGCAACAAAAACTAAAAACAAAACTATTAAAACGCATCCTGCGCGAAAATCGAATCGAACCAAAACCAAATTCGCCACATGAAACAAAAAAATAGTTGGGACTCTCGTCCGCCGCCATGGAACGCAACAAGACTAAGGAACAGTTGGAGGAGGAGAAGAAGATCTCGCTGTCGTTCCGCATCAAGCCCTTGGCCATCGAAGGATTCGGCGAGGCCAAGCTGCGCGAGAAGGCTCAGGAGCTGTGGGAGCTCATCGTCAAATTGGAAACTGAGAAGTATGACTTGGAAGAAAGGCAGAAACGTCAGGACTACGATGTGAGTACCCAACACCATTTAATCCCGGGAAAAACCCATCCTGACAGCCATCTTTATTGCTAGTTGAAAGAGTTGAAGGAAAGACAGAAGCAACAGCTCAGGCACAAAGCCTTGAAGAAGGGTCTCGACCCAGAAGCTTTGACTGGCAAATACCCGGTAAGTCATACCATCTCGATATCTCGTACACTTAGCTCACCTGGTACTCTGCTTGCAGCCCAAGATTCAAGTCGCCTCCAAGTACGAGCGACGTGTGGATACCCGCTCATACGACGACAAGAAGAAGCTCTTCGAGGGTGTAAGTATTTGGTTTCCTATCGTAAAGCGTTTACGATTCTTGGGTTTTTTTGTTGGGTTGCCTCTTTGTAAAACTCTCTAAATATTACGCACATTTAGGGCTATAATACGGTCTATGCGGAAACCTTAGAAAAGACCTGGCAAGAAAGACAGGAAAGATTCACTCAGCGCACAAAATGTAAGCGTCTGTTGAGCCCTCCATGTCTACGTGTCTCTTTTTCTTTCTTTCTGTATCTCTATCTTTTGTTTTTATGTTTATGTCATAAACTATGTTTTTTGTTCGTATCACTATCTCCGAAAGTACAGTCACGTCAAAAAGGGATGGTCGTATTAAACACTAAAGAATGTACAGTCACATCGAAGGGTCAATACTAACGAAAGTACAGTCACGTCAAAGGGTTGGTAATTTGAAAGCAAAAACACCTCAAAGGTTTGAAATAGGAACTTGGGGCTATCCTTAGACCATTTCGGGGGCTGACAACCAATAACGCACCTAACGTCTACTCTCTTTTTATCTCTTTCTATGTTTTATGTACTATATTTCATAATTGACAACCGTACATTGTACTGTGCTCATAAATCATACACCCAAACACGATCAACACACTAAAAAAAAAAACACAGGGCTGGGAGACCATCTCCAAGGACTCGAACGAGAAGATCTGGAACGAGAAGAAGGAGCAATACACCGGCCGTCAAAAATGTATGTACTATAGATCAGATGCCAGAATTGTAGTTAGATGGGGATCAACTGTACCCCTGCCAAGGGACGACAACAACAGAACAACATTCATAAATTTGTTCATTGTCGTGCTGTGTTTTGATTTTGTTTTTTCCCCTATTTTTCTGTGGACCTCGCTCGAGATTCATCTTCCCAGCTTTGTTGGATATTTTGTATAAGCTTGTGCTAATGGTTATGGTATCTGTTATCCGCAGCCAAACTGCCAAAGTGGTTCGGCGAGCGACCAGGCAAGAAGGCCGGTGAGCCCGAGACACCCGAGGGCGAGGAGGACGCCAAGGCCGATGAGGACATCGTCGAGGATGATGAGGAGGTCGAGGAGGAGGTCGTCGAGGAGGAGGACGAGGAGGCCGAGGAGGATGAGGAGGAAGAGGAGGAGGAAGAGGAGGAGGAAGAGGAAGAGGAGGAGGAAGAGGAGGAGGAGGAAGAGGAGGAAGAGGAGGAGGAGGAATAGACCAATCCACACTCTCGGCCCGCCCTCGCGCACCACCACTTTCCTTCACCACTTTTCGTAAAAACAAACACTCTACATTTAAATACCAAAGCCAAACAATTTTAATAAACGTAAAAGAATGAACTAAATAGTTATGATATCTTAGCTTATTCGCCCAACAACTTGCTATTATTCAAAAATCAAAAACTCAACATCTTTTTTTATTGAATTGAGAAATGTAAGATTTCTTTAAAATAAAACATCAAAACCAACACCAACTAAGTCAAATACTAGCAAAACCAAAAACAACCAAACAAAGAAAAGCGAATCAATCAAGATATTAAAGTGTGTTATGGCATCATATCTATGAACAATTCCTGTTGTTTGTGTGCATGTTTGTGTGTTTCGATCGGGTCTCCAGATCAGATCGTTGTAGCATCGGGGGAAATGTTCCTTGTGGAAATCTGAAATCTGAAATCGAATGGTTCTCCAACCAGTTCATCCAAGGATCCTTGGTCGTAAATTTTCCTGGGGTTCCTTATCAGCTAAAGAAACGCAAAGTACCGAAACCTGAACGAAAATACCTTCCCCATTGAAATAATCGAAGAAAAGAAAAGAAGCTATACGAAAGTGAGTTTAAGCCGCGTTTATTTTTTTTTTTTTTGAATTTTTTTATCTCACAGATACTTATGTATATAGGGGTCTCTTCAGGGTACGGTTTTTGCGTGTTCGATCCGGGGGCTGTTGAAGCGACTACATCAGTCCGTGTTTGGTGGCCTCGCTCTTGAAACAAGCACCATATAATTCGGCAGCCTCGCAATGATCGGACGGCACACTAATGGCCGCACACTTGTCTCCGATTTCGAGAGCCAACTTTAACTTCTCCGGATCGTTTCCTGTGTATTGCTTGGCCTTTTCGTGACCGGCGTCCGTGTCCAGCTTGCCGTTTGCGTCAATCAATCCAAAGCTCTTCATCACGCAGGCACGAAGGCACTTTCCAGCATACGAACTGGCAGGCTGCTTTTTGATTAGCTCCTGTAGGTCGGCGTCTGCGGCTCCCACCTCGGCCATACAGCCCTCGGCTGCACTCATCAGCTTTGCCATGGCCTCCTTTTCGTCAAAGCCTTTCACCAGTGCGGCGCCGAGGAGGATGGCTGTCACAAAAATGATTGGAGAACTCTGCATGATGCTGGACTGGACCCGTGACTCTAACTGAACTAGCCTCTCCGAACAGCTCCCTTTTTATATAGCCGTATTGAAGACTTGCTCAGCTGTGAAATAACGCAGTGCATCGTTTAGACAACCTTTTAATTTCCGGCTAATTACACAAAATTTTATTATAAGGTTTTTTCCAGTTCGTCAAAAACTTAACAAAAGCTTGCCGCTAACTGAGTGCAGAGTAATAATTACAGAACGCCCCCATAAGACACGCACGTCCGCAGAAATTTGAATATATAATTATATATATTCAATTTCATATGTACTTGTTGAGTAGAAAAAAAATGGACCGGAAGACTATACAGCCTATAATAATTTATATTTACTCTAACGACTTTGTCATTCAGCTTATCAGTCTAACGAGTTAACACAAGCCGCAACGGACGGTATTAGGCAATCAATCGCAAACTATATCGCTAAAAACTTTGCGAGAAGAAAAACCTAAAAAAAAGGTAGAATACAATTTTTGAACATCTTAATTGGACTATACTTGTATTAAAGAAATGGAAGTCAAAATTTGAGAGCAATGAGCATATAGATTTCATCCATTTGCAAAAAAAAGGAAAGACGAAAACTTTTTCGGTTGCATAATTTTATATTTATGTTTAACTTTTATTGTTTCCTCATTTGATTTATTTCTGTTATATTTTGTTGTTGTATAGTATAATTTCGTATATATATTTTGTTTGTCGATTCTTTATTTATCGGTTGTCGGGATGTTGTTATTAATACAATATTGTACAATTTCTTAGGGTACGAAATTTGATTAGAATTAATTCGTTTCCATATCGGATCTTTGCAGCGTACAGTAAACTTATATTCGTGGATTACAATTGGCTAAATACATTTATGGTTCCATTTATTTTTGGGCTCGAGGGGTGGGCGTAATTTTTGTGGTATTGGGAGGGTGCTGAATAGTGTAATTTATAGATTCTTTGAGCTCTGATTGTCTGTCAGCTGCAAGTAGATCGTCAGTTTCTCAACATTAATGTCTGGATTCCTGTCCTAACTGCAGCAATTCCACAAACAAAAAAATTTACAATATATATATAGTACATGTATATTTAAAGAGTTATACATATTAGATACACGGGTCAAATTAAGACAAAAAATGCATCTTAAAAGCTAGCAAAAATAGTTTACGTTTCACATTTACCACATCTATACTTAAATATAGTTCACATATTCAATGCGTTTCCCAATCACAAAACTGAATAGTTTTGTGGTTGCAAAACGCACTGTGACTACACAAAAACACATTTATATAAACTTTTCTCCCTTATGTTTGACTTTCTTTTCCCTTTATTCTCTTAGCTATTAGCGAGCAAGCAGGATTTCACATCACCGCCATCAAATAAACTTCAATTTCCTCTAAGCAATAATTTTTTTTATTTATTGTCAGCAATTCTTATTTCATTTCTTGAAATTAAACAAAAACACAAACATTCAGAGACTTTTTCAAGCGCAAAGCTAACGGCAAGTAAGTACATTATATAGCCATCCTGTTCGCACACACACACAGCAGTTAGGACGGACAGGGCTCGTGTGTCTGTGTGAGTGTCTGTCGGTGTGTAAGGACATCTTCCTTGCTAAAAAAAACATGGTTATAACCAAGTAAAAACCACTTTAAATTCAAATAACTGATTAAAACTAAAAGGTTTCTCAACAAAAGTACAGTTTGCTCAAAATGTTAAGTTTTACTGTCCCTTTTGGACTTAAAAAATAGGTACAGTCTGTTAAAAAGCTGCTATCTATTACCGTTCTCAATTAGTTGTTAAAACAATTACGTTTTTAATTCAGTTATTTGAACTCCAAGTGAATTTCCTAGACCAAAAAATTTAGCTTAGCTAACTTCGCTTCTTCTTCCCTCACATGCACGCACACATATACATTTAAAATCTGTTACAACTTTCATATACATTTAGACATTCAGTTTAAGTTATACATTTATATATATTTATATATGGTTTATTTAGATTGGTTTTCTTTACATTCAGTCATTTTATTGCAACACAAAAAAAAGTTTACAAAAATGTAATATATTCTATACTAGTTCACGTCTTTTTCTTTTGTCATCAGCAGCAAATATTTAATATGCGATTATGGTTATTTAACTAAACATCTTAAAAGCTCTTTCCGTTAAAAATGTAACACTTCTAATGTATTTCGTTTTGTTTTGCTCTACCGTTTTGCAAACTATAAACAGTGCTTATAGTTATATTCATCATATATCCCATAGAAAACATGTTGGGGTTGCTAGAGCCCAATGACCAAGTTCAGCTAGAGATTCATTCGATACGTGGGAAACGCAATAAACATATTTATATATTTTATATACACAATTACAGGTAAAAAAAAAAAACTTTCTAAGTGATAAACCGACACGAGTCTCTCAAAAAACATTCGTACAAAAAAGGGCTTAAAAAGATGTCTAAACTAAATGAAGAAATTTTGTTTTTATATCGTAAAGGAGGTCGGCGAGTGGCTGCAACGGATTTCCTGCATCCGCATCGTTGCAACAACTCCTTGTTCTTTCTTCAGCTTCTATTGGTGGTTTTCTTTTTTTTTTTTGCAACACATTCATTTAGAATTGGGCACACAGTCCGTTTCTTGACTGTAAGATGCCGAGGGAAAAACGAATGCCATCCGTTCGACTTAACAAAAAAAAATTAGATATTAGTCGCATTAAACTTAAAATGAATCGCATTAGGTCAAGGCTTAAATTAAATGATAGGTTTTTAGTAAAGCCGCTTATCGTTTGTACGCGATTTGCTGGTAATTAAGGTAGTAGGTATAGCAATGCCCATTTAAATGGGCCAAATGAAGTAAATCATTGCACAATCATTTTAATAATTCAACGCCCAGCCGCATTAAGGTAAATCCAGTTAAGAGTTATTAAGGCATAAATTAAATCATTACGGATTAAGGGGAAAGGGTGGCTTTTAAATTGGCATTTCTCCCTGCAACTTTGAGTCTCTTCGTCACGAAACGTTCTGCGGAGGCTTAACGACTTATCTTTTTTTGTTTTGGTTGTTTTTTGTTTTTTTTTTTTTGGTGAATTTAAGAAGCATTATTACAAATACATCATATATGCGTATACACATATAAAAAATGTAAATGTCCCCAGCTAATACAACTTAAAGTTATTTTTGCTTTTGCAGCAGCAACTAGAGCAACAGTTATCATTGTCGTTATCCTTATCGGCAGCCGGGTTCCCAGGATACCAGGTTCAATGCTTGCCACGCGGCAGTCTTATGGGTATGTGCGGATATCATGTATCCGCCATGGGGTCCTCATTGTTGTTGTTGTTGTTGTTATTATTGTTGTTGCCAGCTAATGGCAGCTGCTTTATCGTAATGACATCCTTTGGCTTTTGATGCAACAATTGTTGTTCTCGTTCCGGTTCCGGTTCCCTTTCCTCCTCGGTTCCCTCATCCTTTTGCTGCCCATGTTGCCGTTGTTGTTGCTGTTGCTGTTGTTGTTGCTGTTGTTGTTGCTGTTGCTGTTGCAAATGTTGCAGATGCTGCTGCTGCTGCTGTAGATGTTGCCGTTGCTGCTGTCTGCCGCGTTGTTCTGGTATAATTTTATTGATTGTGTACTGATTATTGTTGTTATCCTTATTGTTGCTATTGTTTATAATCGTGTTGAGGTTGTCATCCTCGCTGGACATCTGCAGCACTTGCTTGGCCTTATTCTCCCACAGCATTCGATTGGCCTTTAGCTGCAAGTAGAGAAGACCAAAAATCGTATTCAAATTAAGCTCGCTCACATAATGGACGCACTTGTGCGTAAATAAACATAAATGGCTGCGGCCAAAGCCAAAAGCCCCCGGAATCGTGTATTCCCATCCAATTGCAGCTGTTGCCGCCGCTGATGGCTGTTGGCTGATGGCTGATGGCCGCCTCATTAGGGGCAATGTTGCCGCCGATGTTGCTGCTGCTACTGCTACTGCTGCAACCGCTATGCTGCGCCGTGTAGCATGCACCATGTGCAAACATCTGCCAGTTTTGGATGCAAAATGGTAAAACATCCTTTGAGTGCCAGTCAAAGCGGAAACTTTGAGCACAACAATTTTCTGTTGAACTTTGCGACGACGTCGCAGTTTGTGAATTAAAGCGCAAAAAGTTGCAAGAAACAGCGTTATAGATTTTCCTTAGCTGCATTTTATTTTCATTTATTTTTATGCACTTATTAGCACACTATTTTAATAAATTTAAAAGTGCATTTTTCTTCTACAGAAGCAATAACCCTGGTTAAAAACGGTTTGGGAGGTACATTTTCCTTAGCTGTATTTTTAGTTTCATTTTTATGCATTTATTAGCGCAGTACTCTAAATAAATTTAAAAATGTATTTTTCTCCTAAAAAGGTTTGGGAGGTAAATCAAATAACTCTAAAATAACACATCAAATAAAACCATTGCCATCTTTTTTTTTTTTTTGCAAAGAACGTGTTGTTTTAATTTATCTAATTTCAATTTTCCCCCATTGTTTTCCACAAACGATTCAAATTCGCTTAATTCTTCTGTTTTTTCCTGCTACATTTTTTAGATTTCCATTCGAATTCTGTTTATCTTTCGCTATGCAAACGTACCCGCAGCAAACCTCTTGTTTTCACAGTCAGAGCGTAATTCTCGCAACATTTTCTTTCTTTGTGCGGTTTTCCGTTCGACTCGCTCAGTGTTTTCCTTTCCCTTCCCCTTCCCCTTTTTCTCGCCCCCTTTCTTTTTTCCCCTCCACCCTTAAGGGTATTAACGTTTCGTTATTTGATTTTAATTTTTCACCCCGCAACTACAGCTTGCTTTTTAATTTTTGCATAAATATTAAATATGCAAATATGTTTAAAATATTTAATGTTTGCAGACACCTCGCTCTTTCGATAAGTGGAGTGGGTCGCAATGTACGCGTTGCGGTGCAGTGCCGTCAATTAATTAAAATATTTGCCATTAACATAAATTAAGGAATATAATGAAATTGGCGGACTTTCAATTGATATTAATTGCGTGGCACGTTGCTTGGCTGCCGAAGGGGGATTTGGGGATTGGGATAATCGGCCGGTGTGTGTGTGGCATCTGCAACGAGCGATGGGGATTGGGATTGGGATCGCGATTGGCATTGGCAAACGGGAGTGAGAGATTGGTGTTGCCACCGGTTGGATCGGTTGGCAATTGGATGCCTGTCAAGCTGGCGGGGATTCCGAAAGTTGACTTAACTTTGACCGGCGCTCCGGTGGACATTTCACTCCATTTACGCATTCCTCTACCATTCGTCTGCCGGTGGCATGCATGTATAAATTGCCACTTATGCCATCATGCCATGGCCACGCCCACCGCAGCTTACGCCCACTGACGGCGGCGGCAGCGCGGAAACATTGCAATTGCAACTGTCAAACGGAAAATGCTCCTCTGACAGGCCAATAAAAACGCATAAAAACCATCGGGGACATAATCGAAAAACAAAAACCACTGGCAGTGCATAAAAAAAAGAGGTCAACCAAGGTGCAGTAAATTTTGTGGAAATATTCCTTTTTTGTACCTTGTCTCTTTAATTTATGAGACACTCTAGGATCACATGACATATAGTAAAAAATAATCAAATGGAAGCGAAAAAATGTCATTGTATAAAGTGGAAAAGTCAACGCCATAAAATCTGAAATAACATTTAAAAAAGATTTCACTTTAAAGTTCAAATAAACTCAAAGGTTCAGAAATGTCAAATGGTGCATGCCTCTCATATTTTTCTTTTTGTTTTCGTCAACTATTTTAGTTCAAATTTTTATTAATTATAATTAAAGAAAAATAGAAAATAATAAATTAAAATCCTAAATAGAAAAGATATAATCGAAAGAGTTTAGCTAGGACACTCATAATGAATCATATAAGTTTTCAACTATTGGTTTAAATTTTTGCAGCTTAAATATATGTAGGTATACGACATAAAAAGCCAGTTAGAAACTTGAATGGAAAATCTGCAAGTTAAGTTCTTCAATTACCGAAATGGCTGCATATTTATTTTGTTAAAGTCCACTTAAGTCCGGCTAAAGGTCAGCAGGAGAAGGAGCGCGGAATGCGGGCGAGAAAAGGCAGAAGGTGCAAAAAATGCACTGCTGTCCACTTAATTCATTCTAGGAATCCGCTCGCAGCGGCGATTTTAATTTATGAGACACTCCTCGTGCTCGACGAGCCCGGCGCCAGAACAAACAAATATATGCTGGGTAAAAGTGGATGGGAAAAATCAGCTCCGGAGATAACTCAACTTGAGTTAACTCAACGCTACTCGAGTCGAGTGGCGCGGAGTAACGAGGAGTGGACTAATTAATTAGCAGCTAATTTAACGCGTCGCTGCGCCGGACATAACTCAGCAGGATGCACTTGCAAACAGAGACACCACCAGCTGCCGACGGCATAAAAAAAACAATAAAAAAAAAAAAGGAAAAAAATTAAGCTAGTGGAAGGGACTCGGGGTGAAAGGTCAGTGGAAATGGCCAAGTAAACCGAAAATTTCAATTAAACGTTAGTTGGAAATTCTGTTGGTCGGCCAGCGGCAACAGCTGTTGGCCCAGTAATCAGTGACTTAAAAGGAAGTAACCAGGCAACGCTTTGAATCCTTCGGCCGCATTATGAATACTAATTATATTCTATTAAATGCCAAAAGGCAGAGGGTGAATATAGATTAAGCTTTAATCCTTCGGCGGTACGGTTGTAATGGGTAGTAGTAAAAGTAAAAGTAGTACTAAAAATAATTTAATTGAAGACTTTTGTATTGCAATATTGTACAAACTTCCATTACATTATGATAGTTTTATTGAAATATTAAAATGGGAATTTATATCTCTTGCGTTTAATAAGAGACTTCACCAATGCTGTATATTAAATTTCGTGTTTTATCAAAAGGTAAATAGAATTTTTTGTTTGAATTTCAAACAATAAGTTTTCATTAAAATGTATTTAATGAATATTTGCAGCTGGAGTTACTACGTTGAAAGTTTAATAAAAGGAGAATATGAATTCTTCTGTCAATTTTTACAATAAATTCATAAAAAGCATTCATGGCGAACAGTTTTCCCTCGAGCACATTCAATTTGTTGATGGCAACTATTATTTTTCCTTTAAATTTAATAAATAAATAATGAAATCAACTTCTGCAAAAACTCTTGATGGCTCGCAACAAGAGAACGAGTGCCAAATTTAATAAAAATACGTGCAAAAACCATTGATTGGTTAAATATTTCAGCGGAAAGTGCTAAATAAATAATGGAATACCAATTTTTTCCCGACAACTTGCACCTCTAAGGTATTAAAATGTGTAGGTATTTTTGCCAGACCCTCGATGGACTACTATATTTCGATTAAATTCATATTTAACCACACATTTCAGGAGATACAAGTACCGAAACAATAAAAAACCCAACCCGAATATTTTTTGGGTTTTTTTTTTTGGCTCTTTTCCCAAAGTGCGCACAATGTGCATACCATTGAATCCCCATCATCGTCGTGATCAATGATACTTCTTTCAGTTTCATAGCTTTGTAACCCCAACCCGTATACGGAATCAAAGTAGCTGGAAAAGGAATAATAAAAAAAGCCAAGAAAATGCAAAAAGGACTAAAAATAAAGTAAAATCGCTAGGTGCAACCGACAAACGAGAAGGCAAAGTGCAAAACACAAAACAAACAGCAAAACACAAATCGCACATACAGAACGAAATCGAGTAGAAGGATAAAAAAAAATACAAAAAAAAAAAAAAAAAAATACAAAAAAAGTTGCACAATGTGTGATTTAAGTGGGTGGGGATTTCGGGTGTTCTGGATGGGTGATGGGTGGATATATGTGGGTGGAAAGTGCAGGGAAGTGCAAAATATGCCAATGACACTGGGCGAAAAAAAGGGGGGAGACAGAAGGAGGAGCGGAGGGGAAAGGTGAAAGATAACAAGAGAGCCTGGGAAAATGACAAGCAACAAAAACAAAGGACACAAAAGGGGCGTTTAAGTGGGCGGTGGGCGGTGGTTGGTGTAATAGGGATGATGTGAAATTGCCTGTGCCTGACAGTGATGCCCCTGGAACCTAATCCTGTGGTCCGCTTTTCAAACTCAACAGCCTTTAGCTGGAGAACAATTGTCACGTTTTGAGCTGCTTTAATTGCGATAGTTATATGCCAACAAAAACCTATTTAAATTATTTGTTATTCACACACTTTAACTACCAGTGAAGCCATTTAAATATTTATGGGTGTTTTAAAGTGATTACAATTTGCATGCGAATCAAACTAATGATGTTTTTGAAAACTATTTTAAATAATAAACTATATAAGCCAGGCATCACTGTTGTGCGGGAATGGTAAATGGTAAATGGTGAATGGCTGAATAGTGATTTGGAAGCGCGGATAGTGAAGGCTGATGCGGAGTGTTTTGAGTTTGTTTTGCATTCGGGGGGAAAACCGGCGGCGGATTGCACCTTACCTTCGACGTGTTGTCCTGCACCCATGCATCTGGCTTACCATAGTCCGGCGGATTCGCGTACGGATCGTAGCCGAGCACGGACAGCATGGGCGCTATGTCGGCCATATCGCGCACCACGTCCCCGGGTATCTGGCCCACCCACTTGGACATCGCCTCCAGGTTCACCGGCTTGATGACCTGGTCCGACGACCGTTCCACCCTGCGATTCGAAAAGGATTTTAATTAGGCATTCGGTTCGGTTCGATTCGGTTTGTTTTTAGGGGGGCTATCTTTCGATTTCCACTCACTTTGATAGGGGAACGCCGTTCGGCTTGTTGATGAACTCCTCGTGGTGCAGCACCGCATCGTTCCACGGCACGTCCAGGAATTTAAGGATCTTTCGCATCCACTCCTCCGGATGCAGGACCAGTTGTTCATAGTACACCTGGGGGAAACAATGGCAATTGCATTTGGTCAACAAGGGTTACAGTGAGAGCTCAATTAAGCGAACTGAAGTACCAAGCATTTATTTTTGTTTGCTAATGCAATTAAATATTTCCTCATATTTGATTTAATAATAAAATAAGTAAATTTGATCTACTGGTACTTTAACTTTAAGCTTTAAGCTTTTTATCCAGGTGAGTTTTAAATAGGGTTTTCAGCAATTATTCAGGAACTTTAAATTATTCAAGTTCGTTAATATATTTTCTACTTTTCTGTAGTTTGGAAAACTTCTCTAAAACTGATGTAGCAAAAACGTTCCTTAAACATGTTTGAAAAGGCTTAAAGCAACATGAAAGTTTCCTTTTTTTTAAGAAAAAAACTATACGTTTTTAAATGACAGCTGCAAGCACTTTTTCGCTATTTTTTTAGACCATCCTTCAATGGAATTTAGAAGCCATTTCGCTTAATTTCCTGTGCCAGCCAACAGCACCCCGACCAAGTTAATCATCATTGATTGAGCTGGGTGGCCAAGTGGGTTGTTTGGCTGGATGGCTGGCTGGCCAGGTGGCCAGGACTCACCATCATGCAGCGGTCCTTGCCAATGTCCCGGCACTGTTCGTGCATCACCTCGATGGCGTGGTTCCACTTCTGCATGCACTGCCTGTAGCTGCTCAAATCGAAGCCGGTGATTGTCACCTTGCGCGATATAATCGAGTGAACTGTCGCCCGGCCGTCGCGCACCATGAACAGGAATTTTGCCTGTAACAACCAGAAAACGGTTAAAAAAAATACAAACATAATATTCGATGTTAAAGCTTGTCAAATAAATCCATACTGATTGCTAAGAAATCAAATAAAATCGAAACATACGATGTTTAAACATATCAATTCAACTTTGTGCAAATAAAATAAGTGGAATATTAATTATACTGATTATAGTTTGGCATTTTAATACGTCAATTATATTTACCAACAATGTATTTAAACGCGTCATAAATTTAAGTACAAATAAAAAGTATTAAATTATATTTAAAGCTTTAAGTAATCTGTAAACTTATTGAAAGAAAATACTATTTAAAGTTCCAAAGTGCTGAAGGTTTCCTTAAATTGCAATCATATTTTAATGTTCCTTTTAGCTTGTTCGCAAGTATAATAATAAACTTTTAATAATTTAACTTGCATAAATTCAACACCAAAAATTCTATTTTCCCAAATGCAAATTTTTTACGAAAGCTCTCCAAAGAAAGACAATTTATTTATGCACTGCCTCTGCATAAATTATTTTATATTATCCAATGGTAGTGCTTATTTTTGTCAAAGAATCCTGCCACAAGCATTTTTTGTTATATAATAATTAAATAATACAATTTATTTTCACGGAAAATGTCGTTTGAAAGGGCGATTTCTATGACAACGCAGCAGATGGTATCTGCATCAGATATGGTAAATGGAAATGGCATTGCATAAGCGATATTGTTATGCCTTTTATGCTCTGCCCGTGCGGATTGGGTTGGCTAGATGGCAGGATGTACAGGATGTTCGAAAAGGGAGGGGAAAGGGGGAGGGAAAGGGAAGGGATAGGGAAAAGGGAGAAGAAAATCAGGGAATGGGGAAATTGTTTCGCTGCGGGTGCTTTGTGCTTACGTTCGGAAATAGCTCGATGACATAGGAGCCCATTTTGAGCGTTAGCGGATCCTTGTTGCATAAGCGCGGCGCCGGCTCGCCGTGTTTGGCGATGATTTCCAGACAGAACTGCGCGATGGCACTGTTCATGACCTCTTTGGTGATGCCGGCCTCCTGCAGCCGGAGCGACTCCTTCTCGGACTTCAGCCAGTGCGAGCGCAGTTGCAGGATGCGTGGAATGACGCGCGTTTCCTGCCCGCAGCTGCAAGTATCCCAAAAAAGTACAGACACAGATGAGCATACACGAAAAGCGGCGGGTTAGTGGTTACTGCTTAGTGGATAGGGTTCGCCCAACTGGGATTCAATATTCTCCTTCTAAGCAATGTGAAAATAATGTTTACCCTATTCCTAGAGTTCACAGAAGTGTGGTTGCGGAAACTTAATAAATTTATATGCCTTTTAACAATAATTTGAAATGCAACCGTAGCATTATTTAAAGTCAAGATAAGTAAATCGTAACTTGTATTCAACATATTTGTATCTAAAACTGTTAGAAAGTAGAAATAACTATTAGGGCTGGTGAAATAAGCACTACATGCATGAATATATTAAATATATGGACAAACTTCCTTACTTATGTAGTCAATATAAATTATTCTTAACGTGTACTCAACACGCTAGTATCTAACTAAGTGAAAATAGAATTTATAATAATGGAAACTTAATATCAAATAGCTTGTCTGCACTCAGTTTGAAATTTGTATCAATGGAGAATATATATTAAATATTTATTTGCAAAACTTACTTAATTATCTAAAGCGTTTGATTAAGACTATTATTTTAGAGCAACCTAAATGGAATGCTTTACCTCTCTACTTCGTAGTTCAAATTTTCTTACTAACACTTTAATAAATGTTAAATAATTATCCATATTTACTAGTTTCTTGTTAGGAATCGAAGTGAGTTAATCTGCGGTGAAAATCGGTTTAGAATTACTACAAAATAACCGCTCGAAGGAACAATCCTTGGAATTGCAGCCAACATGTAGAGTGGCACCCCGATACGAGTATGCCAGAGTTTTGGAATCGCCGGGCAGGGCAACATGTGATGGGCGTTGCCCCGCCCCCTAATGCAATCGACAAAACGAAATGGGATACCATCCGCTGCTGGCTCTTTGGCTTCCCCTCCAGTTGAAGTGGAGGCCCCCTGTAGCGATTCCATGTCGGTTGGGTGCACCACTCCCATTCGTGCCCCATTCCCCTTTCCACTTTCCCCTTTCCACTTGCCCCTTTTCCCTCTCTCACCAGCGATTTCCCTTTTGGTTGCAGGACTGCAGCAGAAACCACTGAACTATAAAGGGCTTCAAACGATTCGTTTGCCGTTCTAGAATTCTCCTCCGGCAGCGCACCGTAATCAAGTTCAGAGCACACACAAAAAATTACTGCCTGATTGCGTAAATTATCATAAATATCCCACACTGCACTGCAAAGGAAACGGCAAATTGAAAGCGAACAAAAAAGGAGAAAAAAGAAAGGAATTCGAACCCATGAACCTAGAGGAAAGTAATCAAAGTCGATCAAAGCCCTGTTTATTCAACTACTCTTTTTTTCGAGCCAATTGAAAAGGGCTTTGGGTCAGCAATCAAAGTTGATTTAGGTTTTCCTTTCCCCCCTTCGGCAAGGCAGTTTAAAACAATCCCATGCGGATCTAAATAGTGATATTAATACATTTATTACCGTAATTAAATAAATAAATACTGAAAGTTCGGGTATCATATATGAATGTCAAAATAATTATATTTGATTGCCCAGCGACAGTTTGATTCAATTTGTTTGCCCGTCAATCAACATTAATGAAAATTAGGGTTATTTACAATGGTTTCACAATTTTTAATGAGAAAACCCACGCTGACATTAAAAAATGTTGGCCGTTGAATTTATAACTTTTATGATATATGAATATAGCTACACATAGTTTTCCCTGTCAAGATATTGTAATATACTTTAAAGTTTTTCAGGACGTAACTAAGTTTTTATCTTTATTGTTATCTATTTGTTTATTGGCTTGGTTATCAGGAATTGTTGTTGGGGGAAAAATTTGGCATAACATTTCCATTTACAAAAACCATGTAGATAAATCGTACACAAACACATTTTACTTTAGATTAGAAAATATTTTGCTGCTCTCCAATCCAAGTTGCCTTATTATTTTAATCCGATGGATAATAAATAAAAAAAAATAAATTTCCCAATGACCTAACAACACAACCGAGTCAAGGCCACCTTTTAATCCGACCTAAATTTGTTCCATTAGATTCAGCTCGATTAAACAGCAGGCAACACCCAAAAACACGCCTTTAAACTGGCAACTGGCAACTAAAAATGCCAACAGCATGGAGCCACCTATTCGCAGCACCTAAATCGGGGTCACAACTTTATCTGGCCCCAACCAATTACATTTGTTCGCACCTCGACATGAGGGTCCTCCATCTCGGCGGGGATTCCCCGCATCCCCCCAGCAGTCCGGCAATCCGGCAATCCAGCGAAATCCCTCCATGCCGAGCCCACCATGCAAATCCCACAAAATTGTTTCGGGGCTTACCCCAGACTCAATTAGTTGATGCCAAGTCCAAATGCTAAATGCTACAAATACTAAACCGAGATTTAATCTGGGAACCCAGAAGGGAACAGCAGTTCCCATCCAGAATGGGCATGGAAATGGGAAGCCGAGGAGCAGGACGAGGACGAGGACGAGGGTGACCTACTCCACATACGCTCAGCTCAGGGAAGTTTTACACTTTGCAGCAGCGCCCACGCTTTCAGTCAGAGTCCTGCGAAAGGCGAACAAAGGACGAGGACAACGAGGACGAGGACCACGAGGACGACGACGACGAGGAGGACCTATTCTGTAACTAAAATCCGTGGGATCCTTGAGGGAAAGGGAAGTCGGTTTTTAAATAGCGGAAATTGCGCTGTGCAGCCATCAGAAAAAGCGAAAAGAGCGACCCTCTCTTCCTGCTCCTTTCGTCCTGCTGTCAGGATCCAGGACTCGGTATTCAGGACTCAGGATTCCAGGATGGCAGGAGTACAGGAGTGCAGGACGCTGGATAGGCCACGGATGTGCCATCGCACAGGATGGAGCGAAATGGTCTGGAAGTGGGACGACCGGTCGCCCGGCAGAAAGGCAAATTGTTAATAAAATAAGGGGCTAAAAAAAAAAAATGAACCCGGACGGACGGACGCCTCCTCTTTTTCGGTCCTTGGCCATTTCTCATTTTCAGATTGCGCAAATTTCGTGGCTAATTACTCATGCGTAAGGGGAACTTAAGAAATTATAATATATCGCAGTAGCAGCAGCAGAGGCAGCAGTGGCAGAAGCAAAAGCAGATTCAGCCAGAAGGTAAATGGCAGCCAGATAAAACCCGGACCAGAAACAGATACAGATACAGATACGCAGAAATAATGGAGGCGGCGCAGGACAAACCGAAAAATATTAAAATTGCCAAAGGGCGAAATGGAATATATCGAATTGGGTTGCCTTGTCGTTCGAGGTGGAAGATTGAAAATGGGTGGAGCTGGAGCCGTGGGGTCTCCATCCCGAAAAATGTATATATTAAAATTTACAACATTTTCCCCACAGAACGCTGTGGAAATACACTTTATGGCAGGGTAAAAAGCAGCAGCAGAAAAGGTCTCAGCGAAACGGAAAAGGAAATTATTTGGAATTGGAATGTATTTCAAGGCATCCTCGAACGGTTGATTATACTCTAAGGAAGTGTGAAATTTGGTTAGCAGATTTCTCGGCTTAGGGGATTTTGGCCAATATGAAAAAGTACTCCGTTGGCGGAAAGCCAACTTTCTATTTTCACATATCAACTGAAAGCGAAAGCCAATTAATTTTGTGCGGTATCCGTAACTTGCGAACTTCTTAAGGACTCAACGGAAACCGGAACTGAAAGATTCGGGTTTAAATTCAACTAGGTTATCTGATATAAAATTCTGTTTTAAGGGGAAAGGAAATACAAAACCGAGAATATGTTTTCGTTTTATTTCTTGGCATCGTTCCAAGAACTTTGACTTATTGGACACAAAATTAATAACCAAGGATTCTCAGAATCAGAAACAACAACACAAGTATATAATCCAAAGCCAGAACAGAAAAAAAATCCTTTCAATTTTCATACGAAAATATCTTATATTTACTTTAAAGCAACAAAGCCTTCCCATTTTTATAAAATAAAATTCGTTATTCAGGAGTCGTTTGAGTATTTTCTATCTGCCCAAAATCATTCTGTATAATAAAAAACAACGGCGTTGTAATTTATTTTCCTTTTTTCCGTTCATTCTTATATTAATTAAACTAAAAGCTTTCACATATCATAAAAAATACGCTAATAAAACTGAAATGTATTATGCATCAGGGTTTCCAGCAACACGAATGAAGAAAAAGGACTCTCCCACGCAAAGTGACAAAAAGGAAACTTTAAATTGAATTTCCTTCGGTGAAAATTAAATGGTAATTAAATTGACAGCAGCGATTTCGGGCGTTTCAATAAAGTGACAGTGTGGGGATCCTTTTAATAAATTCCATCCATTTAAGTTATGGGGAAATTATTGAACGTAAAATATGTTCAGGGAAACTGTGGCATGTGTGTTAAGATATGAATAAAAATAACTATAGAAGTCTTAAATCTTAAAATTATTTGAGCTATTAATTTGGGATCTTCAATGAAATTAAACAAATAATTTATAATATATTAAATCGTGTTCAAGTTAGTTTAAATTTAAAGGTTTTGAAAAATTGCAATACTTTCAAAACGCAACTTCTATTTTTAAATCAACAAATATTTTATATTGCCTAAAATTTTATCTTGAGTGATAGTGTGTTTTGCCAAAGCCATAACTTCAGACTGCCAATTATGTGGCTTAAAATCACTTAAGATAGCTGCGTATATATTTAAGGAAATAATTGTTGACATCTTGAAACCCGTGATCCCATGCAACCCTTTCCCTGTCGAATGTCAAACCAATAAGTCGGCAGTGATATCCGATATGCACCAGACTTCTCAGTGACTTTTGGGGAAAGGGAGGGGAGAGAGCAAGAGGAAGAGAAGGGGGAGGAGGAAGAGGAAGAGGAAGGAAGTGGAGTCCCTTCCCAGCAGACCACGCATTGTGGCAAACAATCAAATCGAACTGTTGCCTGGAAACGGGAAGTGGGGAAAGGGGAAAGGAAAAGCGGGAACGGGAAAGGGTATTATCCGGTTACTGGGGAATCCAAGAGTGGGGGAAAAGGGGAGGGTGGTAGGTGGGGTGGTACCGTGGAGTTTCCGGGCAGCAGGACTTACCGCACATCGGGATGGGCATCCAGCATGGCGCGCATCAAAGTCGTCCCAGATCTCGGCACGCCGCCTATGAATATTAATGGCATCTCACGGTTGTATGAATAAACGCGTTGATTGTCATCTGTGAGGTATTTCTGAACGTGTCCGTATTCCGTTGCCGTAACCGTAACCGTAACCGTATTCCGTAACCGTAACCATACCCGTAGATGGTGCCGTAGCCATGTCCGTGCCGTGTTCCGGGATTTCGCATCCATATCCGCGACGTCGTTGAATGTTGGTGGGTTTCGTTGTGGTTTTGGTTTTTGGTGGAGACAAAAATAAAAAAAAGAAAAATGAAATTAGAGAAAAGTTGCAGGCGAAAAATAAATGACATGGCTTCGTGCTGATGGCCAGGATGATAATGATTATTATTATTATTATAATGATGATGTTGTTGGTGAGTGCTTAGAGGCGAGAAATGGCTGAAATGGGGTGATGGCTTGATGGCTGAGCGAGCGCAGGTGTTAACACCTTGTTGGGCATTAGCGTCAAAAAAAAAAAAAAGAAGTAGAAATGAAAAGTGGGGGCGACAGGTGACGGGCATTACTGAAAATAGATTCTACCCATCCATATGGAGCCAGCGAAGGCTCGAAAGCCTTATCTTCCCATGGAGCAAGCCCTCTGATAAATTGCAGCCTTATCGAAGGCAAACAGCGCGATGGAATACTAAAGCCAACTAATGGAAAATCGATCGGTTTCCATAAATCATAAGCCCTGACTTTTATCTAATCAGCTGATGAATACATATTTCAACAAACACTGATTCCAAATAAACATTCTAAAACACACCGATTTAATCTCATTAACAGTGAAAAACATTTAATGCAAACATTCGAAAGCACACTGATTCAATATTGTTGACCGATAAGAGTATTATTTGAACTAATTCCACAGTCATCACTAATTATTCCCACTTCAGCCGAATGTTTTGACATCATTTAAATTTGTTATTCGACCGACAAGAAGTTGTTGCTTCGATTAAAAGCACAATATTGATGTTTGCACCTATGGAATAAGGATGATTTAAATAATATATCAACCTTGCTGTTCACATGCACGCCACAATGAAGTTTATGAAATTTAAATTGTGGATGTGCATTGTTTTATGAATTAGCTATTCGGCTGAGCGATATCGAATTAAATCCATGGATTAATTTCGTTTTGCAGCCCAATACGAGTTGGGTTATTTGAGCAACAATAGTTTGATTTGGCATTTGGAATTGGCATGATAGCCAATTAAAGCCGGGCCTTCACATTTCCAAAATGAGCCACACGAAATCTATGTATGTACCTACTATATGTTGGCCTCCTACTCTAATTACCCGCACACTGGATCATTTGCATTAATTTCTACTATTTGTTTCGGGGGCACAGCATTGTTGTTTCGATTGAATATCCCAACCGGAATTACTGCAATGCAATTTAAGTCCGGTTGGTCAAAATAATTATGCGTTTGAAGTATGCATGATGGCCGAATTAAGCCATGGCTGCGCATATTCCGCAAAATCCCCGGGAATTAAAGCCCCCCTTTCAATGGCCGAAAGCCAAGGATGTGTTAATGCTCTGTGGATATGATTCGGCTATCTGGCCGCACACATCTCGGCCGCATTGTCTTTCATGTGTGGCGAGTCATCTTCTGGCCGAGAACAGCCCCACCAACACACTCCTCTCCGAACCATTTTATTCCGTGTCCATCTTAAGCTGCTTATGACCTCCGCCTTCGATGGTCCCAATGCTAATCAATGGAAGCCACTCCCTCCGCCTCCGCCTCCTGCCATTCGGATCCGTTCCATTTCGAATCCAACGAGACCGTTTTGGTCTCGACTAATGTTTACAAAATAGTGTTCGGTCATCCGATAACCAGTTAAATTCCCTCAATGACTTTTGCTTTGGTTTTGCGTGTGCGGTCGGTGTTTTCCGCAGGGGCGGCAGGATTTTCATCTGTGCTCAGCCAACATGAAATTAGTTATCCAGCTTCGGTTCTACTCCCATGATTTTTTTCCTTTGATTTATCATTGCAAATGTTTTTGTTTGGCTTGGTCAGCAAAGGAGGAGTGGACGCTACAGTGCGTCGCAGAAATGTAAGGCATTTAAGCACTTGGTTTGGGGATTCAGATCCCTTAAACTCCAGGGAAGACAAAAGATTTGAAGTTAGGAACTAAGTTTTCAGGTTTGTAGTTCCAAAATAACAAAAATATTTAACTAACATTATTCTGCAAGATCAGTTATCATTGTTATTTTGATTTGGTTTTAACATGTTATTGGACATTCCTGAAGTTCTTCATTTATACAGTGAGAAAACCATCTCCTCTCCATAATTTTCCATAAGAAACACCATTTAACTCGTTGAATTCAAATAACCCACTAAATTCCGATTAAAATTCAAACTGATTTGGAAATCAAAAATGGATTACCAAATGGAATCTGTCAAGTCCTGATTGCTAACCCGATTCTTCAGCCCCTTTAACGTTTGATTAAATTTAAATATTTCCTCCCCCCGAAAACATGCTATACATTTTTGCGACGCACCTTGCGTGAAGTATGGAGATGTTCCGGGGTGTGACTATGTGTGCTCTTTCATTCTTCTCTTTTTTCCCGGAACAGGGAATATAGATGGATGTGTGGGTGGATGGGTTGGTGGGTAGCTGGATTTGGTTTTGGTGATATAGAGGAGTGTGGGGCAAACAGATTGTGTTCGATTTGGGGGTACATACCTCAACGCGAACCATTTGGGAGGACAGCTCGTTGGTGGCGTCCACCTTGAAGAGGCACGTGGGCCGCAGCTCGGTGAATTTGAATAGGAACATGGTGATGACGATGACGCCGAAGAGCACCCACAGGGTGACCTTCTTATTTCGATATGGCAGTCGCATTCTGGCGCTGGCGGAGAAGGTGTCGCAGCTAACTGGCCTTTGATTCGCCGGATGACGATGCTCCTCTCCTCGATGATTCTCCTGCTGCTGCTGCTGATGATGATGATGATGATGATGATGATGATAATGCGGTTTTAGTCTGGTTTGAGCTTCTTTCCGTGTGGCGCCCACTCGCCTTTTTACCCCGGCTCCTATTGATTGCTCCTCCTAGTTAGTTGCTGCTCAACGCTCAACGTTTGCCCAAAGCTTAAATATGTAAATTGGTTTTCTTGAGGTCCTCAAAGCGAGAGTTGTTTTGCTTTGGCTTTTGCTATTGCCGTTGCCGTTGCCGTGTTGCTTCTTGCTCCTTGCTCCACTTGTTTGCCAAGGATGTGGGATGTGCTGGGTGGCTAGGTTTTCTCTCTCTCTCTCTCTCTCTCTCTCTCTCTTTTTCTCTATAGAAGATCCTGTTCCTGTTTCTGCTCCTGCTCTTGATGCTGATGCTTTTGCTGTTGCTGATGCGGCGACGGCGGCGGCTTGGCGGTGCCACCACAATAACTCCGTCCACTTTGGTGGTGGTGGTCCTGTTCCGTTTCGTGTTCTGGCCTCTGTTCCTGTTTCTGTTGATGTTGCTGTTGCTGGTCCTGCTGGTCCTGTTGCTGCTCCTGCTTATGACGTTGATTGCTTTGCATCGCCTCGCCTTTTGTTTGCTCCTTTTTGCTTTTGGCCAGCCAACAGAAGCAGCAGCAACTTGGCTTGGCCAACGCACACACACACACACAACACACAGCACAGCGCAACAGAGGAGATGAGTAGACAGCAAAGCAAGCGCTGCACGGCACAGGACAACACGATCCTGGATATCCTGGCAATCCAAGCAGCAGCTGCTGGAACCCCTGTTTATCACCCTTCTTCTTCTGCTTCTTCTTCTTGCCGACTAGTCTAGTCCCGACTTTCCATTTATTGCATTTTTCCTAAATGTCTATACGCACGTATATTTATGTATCAAGCTGCAACGGAAAAAGCAAAGACTACGTCAAGCATATTTAAATAGTTTTCCACGAATTACTGTTTGCCGCCATCTTATTCGCTGCTCTTTTGTCAGCCAAGTTGCTAAGTTACAGGTAAAAGTTTGCAACGCAGCCGGGTTAATTAAAAAAATAAAATTGCATTATGTCTGCAGGTCTTTGACTGCTCAGAGAATTTTTAAGAGCCAAGTTTGGAAAGATATGAAATATTTGAAGTTATGGATTTCACTATTTCATTTCGGCATATAAAATAGTTACTTCTTACTTTCTTTCACAATTTGTGTTGTGTTACTTTTGTGCTGGTTAATATTAATTATAAGATATATGGATATCACCTAACAAATATAGTTAACGTTGAGTTTGAATTTTCTAAATAAGATGATTCAAATTTAGAAAAAATCTGAGAACTAAATTTTTCAAGAATCCATTTACTTATAAAATGGGTCTTATTTTTGATCTTTTAAGCACAAAAAGTAGATCTTGTTTTCTTACTTTAAGTATCTTTATGCTATTTTTTTTAAAATGACTAATATGATGCACTTTTAATTGCATGACAAATGGTTTTGTGGTGTTGTCCTTTCTGGCTGCACAAAATAAACTAGTGTACATTGTGGTTTACTTTGGTTTGCAAGTTTCCACGCTGTGTGTTAGTCCCTGGGGCATTTTCCACCTCGACTTGGGCAGACGGCCTCCTGACGCTTTGTCTTTCGTTTTTCGTTCTTCGCCGGCAAGTTGCAACTTTGAATGTTTGGCACTCGACGACTTTCGACTATCGACACTCGACTTTCGACACTCGACCGCTTCTGACTGGCAACCTCAAGTGACTACGCACCTCTTTCGCCCCGAATGTTCGACTCTTCCTCGACGGACTCGACTCCTCCGATGGCGGCTGCAACTTCAGATTCAGATACAGATGCAGCTTCAACTTCAACTTCAGTTTCAGCTGTAGCTTCAGATACAGATACAGATACAGATACAGCTGTTTGCTCAGTTGTTGACGAAGAGCTGCCAGCCCAGTGACTTAATGAGCCGAAATGCCAAATAGACTGGAACCAGCGTCAGCGATATATACACGTAATAGCTCCAATCGCCGGTTATTTCCTCCGTCATACCTGCAGATGAAACGGCAAACATGGGAATATTATTAATCACCTTGCATCACAAACAAAAAAACAAAAAAAACGAAACCAAACCAACAAACGCAATGAAAAGAAATAAATATTTAGAGATGGGGGAAGTGGAGGGGGGAAAACAGAGGAAAGAAAAGTGCAAACACAATTTCCCCGGTTGAGCGATGTAGCACATGATATATTTGATTAGAAATCATCCACGATACATTTGTTCTTTTCCTTTTCAATATGACATACGAACGTGACTCCCAAGGGGGTCAAGGGGCACATAAAAAAGGGGGTGCGGGGGTGCCGTATAAGCCGCTTACACCCAAGACATTTTCCATCTGTTTTCCCAGAGTTTAAGTGCCTCGCAGTACAGTAAAATCAATGGATGTTTATCACAAAGTGCAATAAATACTAGTAGAAAATTATATAAATACAAGATCAGATTAAAAACCTTGTTTTTCATCTGTTATTAGGACACACATCTGATTAAAAAAAAAATGTATAAATCAATAATATATAAGTTGGATATATCTAGGGGAATTTATTTTAAGTTTTTATTTTCTTAAATACTTCTAGATGAACAGCTTCTTAATTAAATAATCCAGTCAGTAAGCAGTTAAAACTTAAAGTTCCTGTTCACAGTTTCTAAAGCTCTTAAATATTTAAACAAAGATTAAGCCCATCAAAGTCTCTACTAAAAGAAGAGAGAAATTGAAATTAGTTTGCCTGTGATTTGCATATTAAGCACAAATTGAAATTCCTACTTAGCAAGTTGCGAGTCATGACAAGGTTATCAATTTCTGGCCACAGAAGCTAGACTGTAATTGCCCACATTCTCGTTCAGAAATCCCTCAAACTATTTGCCCCTGAGGAGCTGGAGTGCATATGAGTTTCAGGCGACATTCGTCACTGGGCTCTTCACCGCCCCCCATTTTCCTTTGCCAGAGAGAGAGAAAGAGAAGGGAAGAGCAAACGGGTTGGTTGGGGAAAAGTCGGTTAAAGGGGGGATAGTGAGTGGCCGGAGCACACTTGACAACTGCCAACTGCCAAGTCCCCGGCAACTCGCCCAAGTGCGGCCGACGTGTCAGATGCTCGAGTACTTATAATTCCTTTAAATTCTCAACTTTCCCAGCTCCGACATATGAGCGGATGTGAGGTGGCACGGGCCAGGATGATAGACACTGAAAGCCGGAGCGATTCCAAGTGCCGAGCAGATAGGAAAGTGCCTCAGAGCGAACAATTTCTCCTGCGAAAGAGTTGAGCGGCGTGCACTTTAAGAGCTTAAAGACCTCAGCAAACTTCATTTTTCTTTTTTGGAAAAACAGAATAGACAAACACATCACGATTCACTAATAGCCTGTCACTCAAAACAATTTAAGTAATTAGGATTTGAGTACATTCACTACTTCATTTCCTAAGCTCGCTTGTATATGTTTCTGCGGTTTTGGAAGAGATTAGTTTAAGTTAATTAACTTTGGTAGAGCTCAGAGCTTTAAAAACCGTCTTTGTGGTTTGTATAAACTTAAATTGTTTTAATTTAAATTAGTAAGTCGTAACAATTTGCTTTTTGAAGTTATAGCTAAGAATTATTCTTAGGTATTTTTGTATGACAGCAGAAGCTTCATCTATATGACGCTTCATTATTAAAAACTTCTATGCTAATTATAAAATCTACCAGTAATTTATTTATTGGACCTTTGAAAACTAAATTTCCATTAAAATTGCATTTTGCTTTCCGATTTCCACTCTTATTAATTTCCATTTATTTGCCGCACACAAAACCAAAAAGTAAACTTTTGCCATTTCGCAAAACTTTAATTAATTTAAAATTTGAAATTATTGTTGGCAAAAGAAAACGCACACACGCATAATTTCCCGCCCACACACACACAGACAGCAACTTTTCAGAAATATTTTGTGTATGTGTGTGTTTGGAGCGTTCGTCACTTGTTAAACCTAAGAAACTATTTTCTTTTGGCCAGGCCAAAACTTTCAAGGAGCTTGCAATTTGTCGCCGTCACAGGAGTTTTCCTTCATCCATTTTTCTTTGGCCTTTCGTTTTCATTTTTCTCTTCGCTTTTGCGTTTTTGCGTTTTCCGTTACCCGGTTTTCCCTTCGCATTTCACCTTTGGCTGTTGGTGCAAACATATATCCCGTTATTCCCAATTACACATGCACTTTTCCTTCGAGCGTGTGTGTGCTCTTGTTCTTCCTTTTGCCATCTGATCCTGCCAACTTGTTGGTCACTGCCGCTGCCAAGGACCCGAAAAGCAGGAGCACAACAAGCAAGGACATTGTGCAAGCAAGTCAAGACTACACTTGGAGAAAAACTTTATCGAGTTATGATATAATTATTCCAAAGACGTAAGGGATTCACTAGCTGAATGTGTTTCAAATTTTCAAATTTCTAAAGCATGTTAATTAATACATTTTTAAAACACCATAATTTATCCTGATGTTGGTGTTACTTTAAATAATGATTTAACATTATATGTTGTAATAAAAATAGAGATAAAATGGATCAATTAACATTTACGTATATTCCAAATTTTTTCATGAATATTTGAATAACACGTTTTGCATTTTGCATAGGATTTATTTAGGGGAATTCCCTCAAAGCATTTTCAAGACCTACAAATATTTGTAACAAACTTTTTTCCCTGTGCACAAGCACGCAAAATGTATTTTCACATATGACAGAAAGCCCTGAAGGGACTTGCTTGTACTTCGGCTTGCCACATTCTCCGCTTTGCTGCTTTTCGTATGTCGAAAAGTTTTGATATTAAAAAATAAATAAAAATAGAAATTCCTTTTGGCCATATTTTGCATGCTAAAATTGTGGCTTATATATTTACCCCTCCCTCCCCCACATCGTCACATCATTTCCAGTGAAATGGGTGCCAAAAGTTTTTAGAGCAAAGTTACTACGGCAACAGAGCACCCTTTTCCCCAGTTTTTTTCCACTGCTCCCACGCAAATAAAAGAAATAACCTAAAAAAAAAAAACGAAGAAATAAAACAAAAAATAACCCAAAAACCAAGTTGAATTTTTGTTTGAAGAGGTACGCTGCGAGTGTCTGTGTATGTGTGTGTGTGAGTGTGAGTGTGTAATGTTGGCAAACATTCACACACATCGAAAAGCATTCGCTCCAGTTTTTGTTGCCTTTGTTGTCGGTTGTTTGTTGTTTGGCTCAAGTGTCGGTTAAAGTCTTGTAAAAATTAATAAGCGTGTAAATTGTATTGTATTGCCATACACACACAGACACAAACACACACACATTCACATTCACACACACTCATACCGAAAACGCATTAAATTGTTTATGCATACGAAGAGTTTTTCCTACTTTATTTTATGGGACTTTGAGTTTTTTATTTCCACAAGCAGTTCTCAGATGCTTTTGTTCTTATGTTATGCTCAACTTAAGCTTAATGGCATTTTGTTTTCGGCTCTTCAGCACAGTGGATCGTAAATGGAGTATGGATTATTGAACGGGTTTTAAGTTACTTTTTTTTTTTATGTACGGGTATATGGAATTTCGGTTTCTACAAGTTTGAAATGTACCAGTATTTGTTTTTAAAAAAAACTTAAATAAATTAATGTTTTCCATCTTCATGCACATTGTGAATATATTTGGTTAACAATACTTTTATAAAAATTACCTAATTATAGGAATTGAATATGTTTAATTTAATATTATTTAATAAATGTTAGATGCTTTATTGAAAAATTACAATTTTTAAACTTTTTTTGAGTTCTATAAATTTTTTTTTTTAATTTTAACTGTTTTATAACTTTATGTAGACAACATTTACATTTTGCCCCACAGTATTAAAAAGAAATAGCATGGCGCTAGTTCACACGCTTGTTGCGCCCACTATCTCTTGTCTTTTGTTCCTAGGGAAAAACGGGCAAAAAGTGGAAGGAAAATCTGCATAAATAATGTTGAGCCACGCTTTCTGCGGGAAGTGTTGATGATTTGATGGAAAATTCCGAAACTAAAGCGCGCAAAGTGCGAAAACAAAACGCTGCGGCTTAAGCACAGTTAGAAAGGCGGAAGAAAGTGTGGGGGGGTTTTTTTTTTTTTTGGGTGGCAAGTGGGCAACATAATGGGTAGAAAAGTGGGCTGATCCCAGACGGCAGAGCGTAGACACTCTATTTTTCCATCGAGAAACGTGGCTCGCCATATTTTGTACCCCCCTTCGTTGGGCGAGAGTTTATTATTTAGCAAACTGACTCCGTGGCGACATTCGGCTCATTTATCAGGCAAAAGCACGTCACGTCGTGATATTATAAATTACTTCAGACAATATGCAGCAGCCGCACAGTCCGGAGTTGTTTTACTTGGCTATAATCCCGTCAGTTCTGGCCGCCTTCAAAGGTCTCGGTGGTGAAAATCCATTGGAGTGGTAATACCGTCGTACCGAAAACATCAATCACAAGTCCCATGCAAATGGACCGAAAGCAAAAGCATTTTTAATTTAATTAAAACGGTTACCGTCGTATAGACTATTATGATTTATTTTCATAAACCGAATAAACAAGCATTTTTGTGGTCCAAAGCTTCCGTGCTTATTTCTCTGGTTTATTGTTTCCATTTTAATTTCCATATGAAACGAATAACTCGTCGGGTTTCGTTGCCAAACATTCTAAACCAAAATGAAATGTGGCTATTAAAATTAAATTAGATATTTGTGGAGCAGAATTATATGCGTTTAGGCTCAGACGAGAACAGCTCGTTTCGATTTCAAAACATGCACAGGTTGACGACTTTAAGTTCTTTTGGTTGCAATTCACTTCAACATGCTGTTTGACTTTCAGGTTATTTGATAAATGGCAAATAAAATGTGAGTGTTTATGGTTGAACAGTTTTGAGTCTTCTTCTTTGAACAGTTTTGAGTCTTCTTCCTTGCTTCCTGGAGACAGTTTCTGTTTGGCATCAAATAAATAAAACAATTTCAGCATGTGTCTATAAAAACACATTTACTCTGTTT